GTCCGACCCCATGAGTGCCCTCACCCGGGATGTGGTAAACGGTTTTCCACACGAAATACTCTCCGAAAACACAATCAAATCATTCACTCAAACAATCACAATATAAAGCCATTTGTTTGCGATTACAATGAATGCAATAAACAGTTCGCAAACAAACACTACTTATTGCAACACAAGTCCATACATACGAGGATTGATGAGGTGTTCCGGTGTCCGCAACCGGGATGTGATTCCGAGTATAAGACAGAGACAGCCCTCCAGTACCACATGTATAAGCACTCGGATCGGGAGATTGCCTGTCAGTGGCCCGGATGTGAATATAAGGCCACAAATCCATACCACGTGTCACGACATACCAAACTGTGTCACAGCACTGACTACCGGTTCTCGTGCGAGTGGCCCGGCTGTGAGTACCGCACCAATCGTTCATTGAGTCTTCAGTTGCATTCACATAAACACACCACTGATAGGCAATACCCGTGCGATTGGCCTGAATGTGGCAAACGGTTTAAGACAGACAAACATTTGAGACAACATATGATTACACACTCGGGTCCACCCATTCCCTGCCAGTGGAAGGGCTGTCAGTTTACGACTAAACATAAATTGGCGCTTAAAGAGCATATGAAACGAATCCATAGAGTAATGGATTAATTGGTTTCAATGAATAACTTTTATGTATTAATTGTTTTCTGTTATTTATTTAATAATTTATTTATCGCAATTTACAGTAGTGTATCAATATTACTGTATATTTTTATAACTCTATAAAATACACCCAAAAGTTTTGTTTTGAATACTAATTGTAATTTATCTCAAGAAATAATTGTGTTTAAATTATTTAATAGTATTTTGTAAAAAAGATTATTTTTGTTTAATAATTTATTTATAACTTTATATTAATTATTAAAATAAATAATTTAATAGAAATATAAGATTTCTATATTTTTGACATAATTTGTGTGAAATGTTTGCAAAAGTCGTGCATTTGTTGACAAACAGTGAAACTGAATGTGAAGTGAATTTGATTTGCATTTTGAATGCAATTAACCGTAGATTTTGTGTTCATTTGACATCAGATTATGAAAACAATGTCTGAAATACTGATCAATGATTTGGTGGAAGAGTTGAGTGAAGAAAACGAAAGACTTTTATATGAATTACAATTTGAGAGACAATTGAATGAAATCACACTCGGGTCCACCCATTCCCTGCCAGTGGAAGGGCTGTCAGTTTACGACTAAACATAAATTAGCGCTTAAAGAGCATATGAAACGAATCCATAGAGTAATGGATTAATTGGTTTCAATGAATAATTTTTATGTATTAATTGTTTTCTGTTATTTATTTAATAATTTATTGATCGCAATTTACAGTAGTGTATCAAAATTACTGTATATATTTTTATAACTCTGTTTTATATTTTCAAAAGTGTTTTGAATACTAATTGTAATTTATCTCAAGAAATAATTGTGTTTAAATTATTTAATAGTATTTTGTAAAAAAGATTTAATAATTTATTTATAACTTTATATTAATTATAATTAATATAATAAACAATTTAATAGAAATACAAGATTTCTATATTTTTGACATCATTTGTGGGAATTATGAGTAAAATCTGGAATTTGTTGACAAACAGTGAAACTGAATGTGAAGTGAATTTGATTTGCATTTTGAATGCAATTAACCGTAGATTTAGTGTTCATTTGACAGAAGATTATGAAAACAATGTCTGAAATACTGATCAATGATTTGGTGGAAGAGTTGAGTGAAGAAAACGAAAGACTTTTATATGAATTACAATTTGAGAGACAATTGAATGAAATGTTAGAAAATTTCCGAAAATATTCATTGGATTTGAAAACCAATTGTTTTTGTGATCAAAATAAAAAGACTTTTGATTTGTTGGATCAGTTGGACATCACATACAGAGTATTCACTCGAAGTATAGAAAGACCGGAACCATTGGATCAGATAATAGATAGGAAGACAAGTCAACAAATAGCCATCACTTGTGAGGAATTAAATGAATCAGAAGTGGTGTCTAAGAGTGTGAAAAGTAATCAACGATTGAGTACTTCTTCACTGAAGAGGAATAAGAAGAGACAAATCAATTCAAACGAAACCCAACTAAAGAGGAAATACACGAAAAGGGATTTCAATGCAAAGACCTTTGGAACCAACTCTTCAGGCAAACCATACAAGTGTTCAGTGAATGGATGTGACTATAGCTGCAGAGATGGTGATAGACTTGAGGCCCATATGAATAAACACAATGGCGTTAAACCCTATGTCTGTACTCATGAGTCGTGTGGTAAACGATATCTATCTAAAGACACTCTCATGTCTCACATCCGTTACAATCACTCGACTATTAATAGAGACAGTAATCCATATAAATGTGATTTCATTGGCTGCGGAAAACTATTCAAAAGATTATGTGGTTATCGGAAACACCGGCGCATCCATTCTGTGGTCAAACCATTCAAGTGTCCCATCAATGGCTGCTTTTACTCGAGTCTAACGAGGGCTCAATTGGACAGTCATGTGAACAGACATAACGGCGTTAAGCCCTATGTCTGTACTCTCGAGTCGTGTGACCGACGATTCATATCTCGCGAGACTCTCGCGGCTCACATCCGTGTCATTCACTCCAATGCAGAGTCCATTAAGACATTTGTATGCGATTACCAGGACTGCAATAAAGCGTTTAAAAATGTACACAATTTAAGGGCGCATCAAGTTTCTCATTCGGACGACAAACCGTTTGTATGTCGGGAACCGGGATGTGGTCTGAGCTATAAAACACAGGCGGCGTTAGATTATCACAATTTTAAACACACGGATGATGTATATCCGTGTCAGTGGCCCGGCTGTGACTATAAGGCGAGTAACCCTCACTTCATGAGCAAACACGTCAAGTGTCACAACACGGGACCGAAGCTGTCGTGCGAATGGCCCGGATGTGACTATACGACCAAAACCATGGTATGCCTCAGAGGTCACAGACAGCGGATGCACTGCAATGAGAGGAAACACCTCTGCATTTGGCCGGAATGTGGCAAACGGTTTAAGACTAGAAAGGATTATCGCCAACACCTCATCACTCACTCGGGTCCACCCATTCCTTGCGATTGGAAGGGCTGTCAGTTTAAGACTAAACACAAACAGGCCTTAAAAGAGCATAAGAAACGAATCCATGGACTCATAGATTGAGATAATAATTATGTTTTTGACTGAAATGGAGCCCTCGTATAAACCCGAAGACATAAATGAGGGAAAAGTGGTTCAAAAGACCAAACGATTGAATACCCGATCAGTTGTGTCGAAGTCTATGACATGTAATGAGACATCGGATCAAATGAATGGCGAATGTGTTTTGATTTTAAATAAAATACATTAAGTTTTCCAAAAAATGCTAAATAAATCAATTTAATGTATAGGTATTTAGAGAGTAATTCTAAGAGAGTTTTTTAAATGAATTTTATTTGTAAGTTTAATAATATAAATATTAAGTTTAAATTAAAATACTTTAATTAAATATACAGTACTGTGTTTTAATTTAATTTTATTCGGCTGTGAGTTCACCACCAAAACTAATATGTGTCTAAATAGACACAAACGACTGCATGCCTGTGATGACAGTGTGGTCTGCGAGTGGCCTGACTGTGGGAAACGGCTTAAGACCAAAAGCTCCTTAAGGGGACATATGGTTATACATACGGGAGAACTGTATGCCTGTGATTGGGAGGGCTGTCAGTATAAGACGAAACTTATAGGTGTTTTGAAAGAACATAAGAAAAGGAGATATGAAAAGCAAATGAAGTGATTTTTAATATTAAATATTATTTATACTGTACCTTAATTTAAACTCTCTCTCTCTCTCTCTCTCTCTCTCGCGTATCATTTAAATACACTTTTATTTATATAATTAATATTTAAAACATTGTGTTTAAGAATAGATAATGTTTTCTGTGGAAACACAAAACACAGATAAAAGTTTACACCAAAATAGTACTGTAACTCAAATACACATTACTTGTTGCTAATGATAAATAAAATTAATGAGCAACGTGAAGCCAAAAATAAGAAAAGTTGATAAATCTTTAGCGAATAAATTTCAATATTTAGAAACAATACATTAAATTAAAAGCAAATACAAAAAAAACTTTATAATAAAGTTAGGGAATCGTCGCTACAAAAACTTATTCATTAAAACAGTAAAATATTTGTGAATATAATTCGCATTGAGTTTATGGCAAAACAACAAAATTAAAAGTTTGAAAAAATGAAATTCACTACGAATTCAGACAACAATTATTTATAACATATAAGACGTGAAAACAATTATAAACTAAAAAAACTAAAACTCAAAACCATTTCTAGTTTTGTGAACATCTCTCTAAACTTTTAATTAAATATACATAAAAACATCAAAAACCAATGTTTTTGTCTGTGAATACATTTTCTACTCTCAAAGTCATTGAAATCTAATATAAAATTTGTTTTATAATTAAAATTCAAGTAAACATATTTTGATGTAAAAACTCACTTAATATCTAGACTCAGGGCAATGAATATATAAATTAAACTCAAAATACATTTTCATTTCGTAAATATTTTCTATATTAAGTCACTCGAGAACTATAATAACATGTATTTTTGGACTAAAGTATAATATAATAAACGCAATCAAATAACAATAAAACAAATTATAAAAACAACAGACAAACCAAAATTATTCATGAATTCGGTTAACAAACACACCATAAATGGTATAAAAACCTCACATTAATACATGAAAGCAAATAAAACACACAAAACAAACAAAACACAGAATAAATCAAAACACATAAAAAACAAATCAAAAACTTTCAAAAAACTAATTCATCAAAAAACAACTAAACATGAAATTCAAAGTTCAATATAAATCTCATTATCAACTCCTTGAACACCAAACATATCGTTACATAATAACAAAAACTATAATAATAATAGAAAATAACTCTCAAAAACAAACTGACCATTGTCCTTTAATACATTCGGGTGCCAACCAATAGGGTGAGCCCACAGTCGGCAGCTTCTGGTCACTGGTAGGTTCAGTGGCGGCGAACCCGAAGTCGCCGATAACTGCCACGAGGTATGGCTCGGCATCAAACTCGTCCGTCTCGTCGCGAATGGGCGGCAATTTGCGTATAAACACGTTCTTTGAGGTGAGATCCCGGTGCAGGTATTGCAGCGAATGCAGGTAATCCATACCCCGGGCGATATCCTCGGCCAACCGCACAAACGTTGCGTTTATGTCATTCAGACGATAGATTTGCGGACAGTATATGTACTTATTGTTCATATGATTATTGTAATCATTATAATAACTCATGTTTTGGCTGTTGTTTTGTAAACTATTGTTATTAATGCTGTTGTAGTTGTGGTCATCGTTTGTGCCGTTTGTTTGCTGTCTTCTTGTGATTATTTTATGATTTTCGTCAAAATATGTGTCGATCTTATAGTACTGTCGGATCAGCTTCTCGAGTGTACCGCCGTTTATATACTCAAGTAATGGATGTAAACCTCCTATAAGTTTACAAAAATAAATAAAATTTTATATTCAATAACAAAGTTATACAATAAGTAATAAACATAACTAAAGTTGTATTTTTCTTTTATAGAAAATCTATAATTTTTCTCAATTACTATAGAAATTCCTAAACAAAAGCTTATTATTTATGTATGAATTCATGTTAGGGCTTACGAATAACAACTACCGGTGCTGTCATAAAGACATGGAGATTAGCATTCAAATTGGTATAAATTATAATAATCGATAAATTGATTCGCATTTACATACGAAAAGACAAAACTCGTAAAAAACAAGAAATCCTCACATTTTATGGATAGGTATTATGTAAGCGCACCGGCATTACAGAGACAGAGACAGGAATTAGCTATAATTGCATTAAAATATTTTCGGCTAAAAGGCTTAAAACAAAGACAAAAACTCCGGAACTAAACAATAAAAACACAGCCAAATAATACTCCCTAAAAATGTCATTAATTACTAAATGAGTGAAATTACACTAATTTCCAGTGACAACCAAATCACCAAATGTTTGCCCGCAAAATGAACGGACCATTTACGGTGTGTTTAATGACAACTTTATATTTGAGGTAACTGTCCAAAAAAGTCATACATACCCTCGTGAACGACAGTGCCCATAAATGCCACAATGTTTTCATGATTTAATTTGTTTAATAACTCGATTTCTTTCAACGCGTTTCCTATATTTTGCAATAAATAATATGAAAGTTTAAAAATAATGTTCAAAATTATGGTTAATATTTAAATCAAAATTTTATGTAAAAATGTTGTTTAAATAGACACATAAACATCATTAAAAACAAATGATATATTGTGTTTAAATTGCGATTATTATATTTCTATTATTATTATTATTATTCAGTCATTAAATATCGATATTAATAGAGATACTGTATAATGGGAATGTAAATATAAAACATTTATTACTTTTTCGTGTAATTAAACATAAAAACCATTATTTTATTTGCGAAATGTGTAAACCTTATTTCAAATTACATGATATGTTAATTACTGTACCGCAAACATTTAGTCAAATATTTATTCAATTTCTTAATAATAACAATAAATTAATTATAAATTATGTATTTATCTAAAACAGTATATACTTGAATACAAAAATAAAAGTACACAAGAATTATAAGAATTTTATGATAATTAAAACGAGAGAAAAAGTCTTATCTCACGTCCAGATCTCACAACAGATAACACTCGGACTAAAAGGGATAACATGTAAAAAATAGCTAAAGAAACAAAATCTCGCAGAAAAATAATTTTACTGTTATTTTAATTCACACTAAATATAAATATCATTTTTCTCTCAACTTATCGCAACTCTCGAGCGAATAATTTATGCAATAATTTAATCGCAAACGAAAAGTTTTCTCGTTTTGCTTTTTCGCGACTATATTATACACCAAATGACAGACTTTTACCAAAAATAAAAATAGAAAATTTCAAAATTCTTTTCTCTCATTATTAACGACAATATATTAATGAACAGACAATTAGTACTATTCGGTGCACTGTATGAGAGGTGTGTGTAATGGGGTTTTGATGTCTGTGAATATGTCATAATTGGTTTTCATAATCATAAATATAGCGTAAAAACTAATATTCATTATAAAAAATCTCATACATTATTCGGTGTACAGTATTAATTCATATATTTTTCATTAAAATGTAGTGAAAAACTTGGTAATCTACCGTGTGTTATATTATAAAATACACAACTTTTCCATTATAATAACTGAAGTAATTTTTAATACAACAAAAATAAAATTTTTCTCAAACCATATAATAATAAAAACTAATAATTCATAAACTCAAGGGGTATCCAACAACCTAACCCACCAAATAGGGAGGTGTGTATAAGAGGGTTAAGTCTTAACATAATCCTAAAGATAATAGATTTGCCATTAATTTTCATTAACGAAAACCTCGACCTAAACAGGGATTACATTATATCGGATGAAGAGGGCGGCGGTGTTACCGATGCCCCGAACCCATGGCTTATCTTACGTTATAAAACGGCAAGTAATCTCTCAAATAAAATACAACTTAACGTATCATATGATATGGAAAAGGTTGAACCGCTTTTATGGGTGTTATTGTGTGGTATTTGTCTGTTATCTCATTAAAAGCAATGAAAAAATATTCAATTCATTAGTCTTTCTGTCTTTTGAGTCGATTTATAATCGGTTGTCTCTATCGATAAGGACTGGGAGTTATTGAGAGATAACAAGTGAATTCAAAAAAACCTAAACACCAACTGAGAAATCATTTGTAATTAATTATAAAAAAAACTAACAAAATTTAGTATAATAACTTAATATCTAATGTTTCAAATCACATAACAAATCAGAAACACGTTTACATTAATTATGAAAAGGCTGTCAAAAAATGATTTTAACCAAAAAATATCATAATTAAAATATAAAGGCTTTCGAGAAAAATAATTTTAATGATTAAATAAAACACTTAGTTTTCAATTATAATTATGGTTTTTAGCGCTTATACAGTGAACAGTAAAGTAAAAGGCACTTCACTTTATACAGAGAGAGAGAGAGAGAGAGAGAGAGAGAGAGAGAGATCGCACCGTTTGTTTAGCACCTGAACTCAACACTTGAGAAAAAACTTATAGCCACTGATTAAACAATATAAACTGGATTTCGTGTACACGTTATAGCCTTTTATCTTTCAGTTCACTATAACGGGGGTCGCCTCAAGACTACTGTAGTGTCGAAATTATTTTATCATTTTATTGCCGCTCTTTAATCCTATTATAAACAAACAAATTCATAAAATTTCTATTAAAAAATATATAAAGTTTTTTGTTATGTAAATGGATTATATTGTAAATAAAACTGCCATAAAGTTGGAAGTAATTGGGGGTATAGGAGGTCTCACTGCCTATCATAATAGTCTCACGTACTGACCATGAAATTAAATGCAAAAAATTATAAAAATAATGATTAAATAACAAAATTTGATTAACAATTATTGGATTTGTAAATTTAAACACCAATTATGCAAACGAGTAATAAAAATACGAGAGATTTCTATTGGAGAGAAACCTTCAAAAACTAATAGAAAACTGCATTTTCTTTACCGAAAAAACTCTTTCTCTCGATTTTCCAATAATAACAGTAATAATAGCAATAAAAATAAAACATAATTGTAATGAAAAAAGGTTTTCCAAACACTACACATACGACTCAATGAGAAAAATGAACAAAAATATCATTTCCTTTAATTGCGTTTAAAGCAAAAAATATCTAATTATATAAAAAGTATTGATTATTATCGCAAAACAAATCAAAGACCAAACACTGACTGAAAAAAAGTGCTCATAAAAAACAATTTCAAGTTTGCGTTTCATTTGTTTTTCGTGACTGAAAGCAATTTTTCCATACATTAGATGCAAAAATCAAATCAAATATACAGTGAGAATAGCAAATGAAATTACAATAAAAAACAATTTTAGCGATTCATACAAATCACTAGCGAATATAATCATTATATTTGTGCATTAAATTACATCCAAATTATTATTCAATAGACAGAGACTTCGAGACAAAAAGTGGAGAAAATACAATGAATTTGCAAATAAACAACAGATTATTACATAAATTCAAGCAAATAATGAAATATAAAAAATTTCTACGCGAAACACACGATTTGATTGCAAAATGTAAGCTAAAAATTAAAAATAAAACAATATAACTGTGTTTTAAAATATATTTATATATATATTTTTATGTACTAATTCTAAATATATGGGTATTTAAATAGCATTTAGCAGGTATATTAAAAACGACTTTCAAAACAATCGTATGACTACTGATAACTGAAATATAGTGTAGTAAAAACAATAGATAACAATTACAACTAAAATTACGGTTAGTTATCATTACTTTTTAAGGTTGAATAAAGTTATTAATCCCTAAACTGTAGATAAACTACTTATGTATATAAATATATTTAGTATTTTATTTCATTTTATCGCAAATTAATTGTTACCAAAAGAACTACTATTTTGTTGCATTCAATAGACTTTACCCTTAATACTGAAAACGAAAAACAATACAAAGAAAAAAACCTTTAAAACAAATAAAAAGATTAATTAAACCCATTTTCGACAAAATTATTTATTAAGAAATTTAATGACAATTTAGCGAAAATAAAAAACATTTCTAAAGAATACTTTTAATGCAAATTAAGGCCAATATATACGTGAATGTAATTAATGAAAAAAAACTATAATGTTTTAAATGTTTTCTAAATTAACTCTGCACAAAAATGTCTGTTTTAATTGAATGATGAATTTAAATGCTAACACATATATAAAAACCTAAATTTTACGCAACAATTATTCAGACAATTCATGTGCTGTTCATTCATTAAAAAGACAAATGAAATAACAAAACATAACTGTATGGATATATATTCAGCGAAAATAGCACTTTTAAAATACATATCTCTTTAATAATCACATCTTTTCTAGCGTTATAAGAGTTGCAAAAAACATTTTTGCACCAAAAAATCATTTTTCATTTTTGTACCCAAAAAATAATTGCATTTTTATTCATAAAACGATAATCAAATTCAATGGAGATATGAGAGTTCAATGGCGAGAGACGACTGACTTTTCTCTACAGTAAGAGTGTATTGAAAATGAGAAACAATTTTTCCATCAATTGTTATGCAAATTGTGAAAACAAAACATTGTATTTGAGAGTTAAAAAACTTTGCAAAAACAGTGCTAAATATCCAGAGATTAAGGCTTTACTGTTCGGTAAACACTAATTAATAATTACATACAAAAGTCTGTAGTATTTCAATAACACTTTGAAAAATTCAAAATCAAAGACTATACTAAACGTATCGCTCGATTAAGCGCCGCTCGTATTAAGACTTTTAATTCAAAACCTTTTAAACCTATTAATTAAATCACATTTTCATATCAAACTGAAGGCAACTGCAAAAAAGACATACAGTATTGACAAAATCACAGTCTAATAAGTGGTATTCACACAAATGACTGAATATTAATAATAGAAATCATTTAAATGAGAAAAATATTCGCATTAATTGGCATAAAATATACAAATAAAAAATATTTTTAATGAAATATACCTCGATTTCCCGCCTGTTTATTCATTTTCAAAACCATTACTTTTTTGGTTGAATGGTGTGTCACCTAATAAGTAGATCACAGAAAAAACAAATAAAAATTAATATCAATTCAATTAGTTAATTAATAATAAAAAATAGTTAGCATAGAAATAATTTACTAGAAAAATTAAACTAAATTACAATTTATTCTAAACACATAATAACAACAAAATAAATATATATTTTATATTCAATTAAAACTTTTATGACTTATAATTAAAGGGCATTTAAATCCTCTGAAAAACACGCCAGACACTAAAGTGTTAATTGAATTAAAATCTACATAACAAACAAAACTAATACTATTAGAAAGTAATTTAAATTTAAATTTACAATATAAACGCTTTTGAAACTTTTAGTGTTAATTTAATTAATGTATTTATTCATTGAATTCATATGTAAAGTGTTATAAAGAATTCAATATTAAAAACTCCATTCAATACGATATAACGAAATTAAATGGTTTTAATTGTTATGCTATTTAAATGCAAATTATATAAATTTTTCAATTCTATGACATCTTAACATACAATGCATGCAATTAACACACAATCGTTGTAAGTGTACATAAACCATATGAAATTCAGTCCATTATAGTGTACCATAAGATTGAATTTAAAATTTAAGTAAATTAACATTTATTAGATCATCAATTGAAGTAAAAAAAATTTATTGAATAAAATACTTAAAATTAGTGCCTATTTGTTGACTACATAACAAATACCTTGTAATTAATGCCAAACCTATTAGAAACAAAGTAATGTAAAGTGTATTGATGTTTTTGATTTAAATTGATGCTCACAACCGTGTTATGTAATACAATATTTGCAAATAAATATATACAAAATATTATCAAATCATTCGTTAATCTCATACCAGAAATGATAATAACAAATGTTGCAAATTATAATACAAACAAATACTTATAATAATAGACATAAATATCATTGAAATACTGGGTGAGAGACTGGCAGTAGGGAAGGGCAGGGAGGGAAAGGGAGATTGAGATTGTGTTTTCACTACAAATAGTACACTATATACGCCACACATACACTATACTTTACTGATTAGTTAACGAAACCCCTATTATAACTAAACTAAACAATAATTTTTAGGTCAAAGTCATAGCATAGTTAACAGTAGTGTTTCAAACACATCACATAATCTCATACATGAGTTATATTTAAATAATACGGTTATGAATGGCGTTCACTGTATGCCATACCAACCCTTCAGACAGCGAGAAAAAGTTATAAACATTTACAACAAATAAACAACATATCAATAGTGAACTGATTTTCAAATCCAACATAAATATACTCTGCTTTTTGTAGCCAAACAAACAAAATACAGCCAAAGGGAGAGTGCGATAGACTCTGAAGATTATGCCATATTTTGTTATACCATTTGTGCGATAGATTCGTATTTCTAGATTAAATGCCAATCACTCGGTGTGTGGCTTACATACGAGAGAGAGAGAGAGAGAGAGAGAGAGAGAGACTGTGAGAGACTGTGAGAGACTGTGAGAGAGACTGTGAGAGAGCACAAATAGTTTATTTCATTATAATTAACGCTCCAATTAGTGTATTAGAGCACTAAACGAGAAAATATGTTTCAAATAAGGGTTCAGTACGTGTTGTCTAAGCAAATAGTTTTTGCTGAAACATATAAAAAACAAAAACAAAAAATCACATATTTGTGCACATAATTCATAATTCAATTTGATATCACATTTAATGCAAACAGTGTTCGCAACAAATAAAAAAACATAATTTCGTATAAAAACCTGAATTAAAACGCTATAAATGCATTTAATAACTTGTCTATTAATAGCAATACAAATGGCATTTAAAAATAAATTTGGTATAAAAACATATTTTATTATCAAAAACTATTTATACGATTCAATAAATTATATTGAGGGTACAGTACAGTATACCGGGTACACTATAGGAAAAAACGTTTAGTGCATTATTTAATATGTATTTATCAAAGTCATGCCAATTATAGGGTGGAAAAAGTGAAAATCTTAAGACATAGCAATAAATTAAACAAAATAATAGCTTATAAGTAGTACACAATTGCTATATCATAGTTGTACTCAATTATAGTATAAACATCTCGTATATTAAATATTAACTATACATCAATCAGTTTGTATGAAACAAATATTATAATATTGAAAACTAAGGCATACATCGACTGCATGTTAGAAATGGTATTAAATAGAGAAACAAATATTTGCCAAAAAGAAATTGAAAGATATCTGTAATGACAATGACATACATTACACGTTAAAGAATAGAAAAGTATTTGCAAAACGAGTGCAAAAATTTTCAGGCAAATAAATAAATAAATATTTAATTGTATTATTAAAATCTCTCTCTCTCTCTCTCTCTCGACAAACATTTTATTAAAATTTTAAAGTGAGTAAATCATACGCCAATACAGTAAACTTATCCAAAAAACCATTCATTGTTTTTTGATTACAGAGAGAAAATACAATAAATAAACATAAAATACCCAATAATTTTAAAACAAATATAACTTTTTATAACAATAATAAATAATATAAGTTTTTTTATAGCCGATCTAACAATTGATAAAAAACATAAAAAATAATTTCATGAGAGAGAGAGAGAGAGAGAGAGAGACTGGAAAATCTCGGAAAACAAACATATTTTGCGAACAAATATTTATTTAACGTTTCATTGGGTTTACGATTGGATTGATGCAAAAAATTGTCTGTAATAGTCATCACAACCGCACACACAATGCTATACACTATGCGGTGATTATGTAATTGAAAAAATCAAATAATATATGAAATCATAAAAATATATCTGATTTTCTGTACAAAAACATCCAAAAACGAAATCATGCGTCAAATTAAAGATCGGAATCGCGAGAGAGAGAGAGAGAGAGAGAGAGGGAGAGAGACTGATAGTAATCATATAAATAAAAATAGATTGAAAAAACAATTTTTTGGGAAAACATTTTTATATCAATAACTCCGGAGTCGAGAGTTCATACGTATTGAGAGACTAGTGTTTTGCAGTCAAAGGGAGATCTGAAAAGTCAATCAGAGGTTTAGCTATAATTTAATAGTAGAGTTCAGTCAGGAATCTATCAAAACGTTTCCCAACAAAACCTCGCATTCAAATCGACTGCAGAGAAAAAAATCCTACACTTTATCGCAAACACACACAAAAATTTCCCAAAAATAAAAATCAAATCTAAAACCTCTTATCTCTTAGCCTTTTAGAGAAGTTTTCGGATGAAGAGAAAAAACTCATTGAATAAAAATTTTCAATTAAATGAGAGAAAATTCTCCACTTATTCTCAACTATAATGGTTAACAACACACTTGAGAAGTTGTAGTGAAAAATCAATATTAGAAAAAACTTGTGGACAAAAAATTCTTTGCAAACAAAATCTGATAAAAACTTCGATATAAAGACATTTTAATTATAGGAATTCCTAAAATAAGTGTTTGAATATAAAAACTTCAAAATCTCTACCAAAACAGAGGCTAATGTAAAGTGAAAGCCAAATGAGAAATCGATTCAAAAAACAGGTAGAAATTAATAAACATTTTTTCTCTAAACGTGAAATAAACGGCTTAATAAGCAACAAAATATATTAATTTTTCAAAAATATATTAATAGATAAGAGAATAAACAAAAATAAAGTGTTTATAAAAAGTTATAAAACAATTAAATAATAAAAAGCTTAAAAATAAGCTTAAAATGGCAAAAATCAATTTATTAGTAAAATAAGGTTTTTATAATAAATTACACGGAAATTAATATTTAAACGAAAAATCAATAAATTAATTACAGACTTAATTAAAAACTTGTGTCAAATCGCATAAAACGATAACAAAAAACTTATTAAATACATATTAAATCATAACAGAACTAAAAATAAATCATATAAAAGCCATAAATAAATAATTGAAAATAAAAGTAAAACCAAATCTAAGATCGCAAAAACTAACTAAAAATAACATTAAAGTCATAAAAACAAGAGACAATTCAAAACTAAATATAAGACCAATTTCTCTCTCTTTCGCAGTCAATACTCTTTACAATTGAGTTACGATTGATACGAAAAAACAGTTAAAACTTCATAATTACAGGCGAAATATCAAACCTCTCGTAACACTATCTACACATCAATTGCTAATCTCATCGCCAGTGTAGGAAAATGTCAAATGAGATACCATTTGATATAATAATAAAACAAATAAAAATGTTTGCAAAAAAGTATTAAATCTATTTATTATCACAAAAAGGAAGAAATAATATAAAATAAACGCAAAAAAGTTTTATTTGTTTATTAGAAATGATAAAAAGCTTTCATTAAAACCCCACACAAGACGACGCGACTAATAAAAAAGTCCCAAAAATTGCTTTAAAATACCAAAACATTAGTCACAAAAAAATTTCAACACACGGTGTAATTAATCGTAAATTATATGCACTTTATATTAATTACGGTTTCATTAAAAAAAATAATTTAAACTCAAAAATTCTTCGCAAGTGAAGGACAGTTGGAAATATCCATCAAAAAAATCAATTTTACAAATAATCTGATTCTCATTAAAAATTGTGAACATTTATCAGACACTTAATGAGACCCTAATTATAATAAAAGCCCTCAAAAATTACCCAAAAAAAATCAATTGATTTAAAACTATCCGCAGTACATGCATAGCTAGCAAAGTTACCCAAAAAATGTATTAAACTACTAACCATTGGTAGTACACTATAGAGGACTTTAAGTCATACTTTTGACAACAAAAATTAGATTAAAAATATATAATAAATAAATAAAAGGCAAACATTTGCTTACTTTGAACACTTGCGAGAAGAAGCCATGCGATAGCTTAATGACATTGAAATCGTCCAAACGGGTCAAGTGGGACACCGCCTCCCGTATGGACGACAACGTGGAGGGCGAGTGCTGTCCGTTACCACTGCAGAGGCCGCCCGTTGGGGTCATACACGTGGGCGACGGGGAGGACATAC